GGCAGCCAAGACCAGGAAGAGCAATCGCTGGACCCAGAGCGGGATCTGGCAATTCTGGTCGAGAGCAGCAACAGGGGCCTGCTTTTCTGGCCTGATGGCACGGCGGGGAAGCCATGAAGAGGAAGGAGACGAAGAGGAGGACACAGAAGAGGTGGAGGATGTCGGGTATAATAGAATAAGCCCAGGGAGCTCCGAGAGACATTGGAAATGGGGCAGTAGTGTGGGAAGCTTTGGTAGGCACTGTCTTGGCTATGGATGGGGGTGGTCCTTACCCTTGCCCTCCTCTTCTGAAGAAGAGAAAATATTACGCCTGGTGTGAGCATCCGCAAGTGAGGTCAAGCCATCCAGTCTGTGAAGTTTGTCATAGCAGCCCAAACCGGATAAGACAGTTGGCCCCTGGAAAGTGCCGAGGCAGAAGAGGCAGAAGAGAGGGGACACATAGGTCACCAACCAGTTCTGGAGTACTTCGATATTGTGACAATCGATACAAATCTATGGTGACCACACTGTGTGTGGTGTCTGCATCCCAGTGAGAGAAGGCAAATAATAGATAGAGCAAAACCATGTCCGATGGTGTTGTCTACAGCAGAGGACAAGGCAACAAGAGGCAGGGGAAGCCTAGAAGAGGCAAGGAGAAATGGCAGACACATACACACCCTTCATCCTTGAAACTGCACACACTCAAACCCGGTGCTCTGAAATGAGTCACACAGCCACCCCTCACTCTGAGGGAAGACACAAACTCAGGCCTACACCCGGGAAGCCTGTATTCATCCATGGGAAGAAGATGGGGTCATTCATGGAAGAAATAGAGACTGGGGATTGGGGAAAACTAGCCAGGGCAGGAGAACCCCATGTGGTATGGGCAGATACTTGTTAGGACCGGGTCCTCCCTGGGTCTCACGCCTGTGGTGTTTTATGAGCAGAAAGCCTTTGGTGTTTTCGTAATGGGCTCTCAACCTAAGAATGTCTGTGCGGCAAATAATCTTGGAAGATGGAGAACCGTGTCTCCTCTGGAGCAAACACTGGCTCCTTTAGTGCCCAGTATGATAAGGACCAGGTGGACACCTGTCTGTAATCCCTGTACTCGAGAAGGTAAGACAGAGTTCCTTGGGCAGCGGGAACCCAAGTTCAAGACCAGCCTGGGTTATGATGAGGGACTGACTGTATGTGTGTGTGGTGTATAAACATATAATTTATTGTGACTCTAATCATGAGGAAAAATAAATGCAAACTTAGTCAGTCATACGGTATAAAAATAACATTATGAGATCCATGCATCTGACCTCAGCATGGCCTCCCACCCCGAGGCAAGTGATTTTTCCACACAGCAGGGTACTTAGGCATATCGTTTCTGGATTCCTAGTCTTCCAGCTGCCATCTACAGAAGACACAAGTGCCTAACCCTGTTGGTACTTGAAAAAAAATCGCAGGGAAGGCCTCTGATGAGCTCAGCTGAGGTCATGTGCCCACCCTAGGGCCAGAAAGGGGCAGGGAAAGGGGCAAGAGGGGTGGGGTCAAGTTATGGTGTAAGCTGTGCCTTTCAGAAGGTACAGGGAGATTTAGGAGCCTCCCAGAACCCCGACCATAGCAGAGAGAGGCAGTAGGGTCAGGGAGGTTTGGGACAGCAGGAGCTGCAGATTTATGGATACCCCAACGTTTTCAAACAGAGCAACGGGGAGAAGGCAAGAATCCCAGCCAGGGCAGGTGTTCTGTTTCAAACTTGATGAATTTAGAAGCTTTGAGGACATAGTGGAAGATCTGTCATGGATCGCTGAGGATACCTTTCTGTAGGTCCGAAAACTGTGGAGAGCCCCAACTACTGGCGGAAGACAGAGTGAGCGTCCCAGGATTCCTTGAAAATTGCAGAAGCTGCCACCACACCAGCAGCCCAGCAGCAGAGTCTTCCGCCCAGCAGAGAGGAATGATTATGAAGGAATTGGTGAACTGCCTGCATCCACATTTCTGGCCAATGCCTGCATGTCCCAGTCCGGTGACTCAGCCAGGTGTGCTCCTGCCGCTTGTTCCAAAGCACACTGGGAGTTGTTGAGCAAATAGTTTATCTGAAACCCACGAGAAGCTGATCCCTTCAGCGGCAGAGCCTGCAATTCTTCGCCACCTGCAGCCCCTTCAGCCCCTGCTACAGCCAGCTCCTGCTGAACCTGGAATTCGTTGAGCAACCAATTCCAAAAGGGACTGGCTCTCCAGAAAATATGTCACCGCTGAGGGGATGGGGAAAGGAAGATCACCAGAGGTCCAGAGCACACCGCGCCCACTCACAGGGCTCCCTTAATCTCCTAGGGTCTGGTTGCATGATTATTCTACGTTCAGAGGGAGCTGAGTTTGTTATTCATCTCTTGATCTGGAGTGAGTCAGACATGGGTGTGAATTCCAGTTTCCCCATCCGCAAAGTGCTAATTACAAATGTGCCTTCTTCCTGGGAGCTAGGGAGAACTGGTGAAGCAAGAGAATCAAGCTGGGCACGTCCCTGAGCAGGACCCCGAGGGACCCACCCCACCCCCATCCCGGGGCAAGGTTCAGATAGAGCAGAGATGCTGTCTGTCTGTGCGGAGGAGAGAGCTGGGTTTCTCTGTGAGCTGCACACCTAAAATAAGTCTCCACGAGAGAGTCAGGGAATTTCCTGTAATTTTTACTCTCAATGTTCTATTTATAAAGCTTAGTCACTGCCGTTCTTTCGCAGCGACTCGGCGTGTGGAGACAGGTCATAATCGGAAACCAGCTCACACGATGCTCAGTCTCACCCGCAGGCTTTGGGGGAGTCTGGGTCAAGCCTTCACTTGACAAGCTCAGGAGACTTGCTGAACTGGGTGGCTCTCTCATCTTCCCATTGGCCACTCACACCCCGCTCTTACACATTCGAAGGGAGTCTGGTCTCTTCAAGGGTTTCTTACAGGCACTGTGAGGCCCGTGTCGGCAGGAGACCCTCAGGCCTTGGCACCGAGTATGGTCCGAAGGCATCTTTTGCTTCCTGCAGCAAGAATAGACCTGCCTGAGCATCTCTGCGCATCACTGTCTGCATAAAAAAGGCAGCTTCTCCCAAGAGGTTCAGAGCTCCGAAGCCCAAGTGCAGAAACAGTTGAAAACAATTAAGGGGCAAAAGCGGGGAATTGGGCTGAATTCAGCGAAGCTCAGCCACACTTATTACTTCTATCTGGCCCAGGGCGGAGCCACAAGGGAGAACAAAACCCCCCTGCTCACTTCCCGATTTCTCAGCCACTCTGCTAGCTACTGAAATCAGGCTCACGAATCAGGGCTGCTAAACCTTACCTCCGGTCTCCCGTGTTCCCAGAGCACTGTGCAGGGCAGAGGTAGCCCCATGTTGTTTTTCATGGGGGACATGGAGGTTTCCCACCCAAAGCAGGTTTACTTCTTAGCTATAGTTTCTCACCAAGCTGGCGTAAGGTTCTCAATCAGCCTGGAAGGCTCCTGGGTGTGGCACTGGTTTCCAAGGCTCTGAGGTGTAGGAAGTTTGGATCTGGAGATGTTCATTAGGGGTCTTGGTCCCAGCTGGCAAGTGTGGGCTGAGGTGGAGTGATTGTCACAGCCCAACTTTCTCTTGTAACAGGGTGCCTCCATGACTTACGTTAGAGGTGTGATGGTCCCAGGGATCTCTTTGGACGGCACCACTGGTCCAGCCTCTGGAACACCAGGCTCTTTTACCATCAATTACCAGCTGCCTCTCCAGACCCATGTGATCACTGTCTGGGCCCAAGTACCCCCAATCCCTATTCCGTTCACTTTCCTCTGGCTTTCTTCTTTCTTTATTTCTCCATCTCTTCCCATTCATAGGACTTTAGGCCCCCTTTTCTCCATCCCTGTGTTTGGTGGCCTGACGGTAAGTCTCCAAAAGCTACGTGGAACCCACACACCATCATGCAGAGGCCTAGAGATTTTCCACTTCTCGGTGAGTCAACACTTCCCCTAGTGCCTGTCACCAAGCATCACAGAGACTGGGGGCTGGGGTAGACTTCCGACAACAGTGTAAAAACAAAACATTCGTGGCCGTAGAGAAACAATGCAAGCACAGACTGCTAAGGTTCAGCTAGTGTGTCAGATGCAAGATCAGCCTGCAAAACTCAGCAGCATCTGCCTCCGCCCACAGTAGCTGCTAGAAAGTATTACTCCGAAGATACTATTCATAACAGCGGAATGAATTACCAGATACGTGGGAGTTGATTAACCAAGAACACACGAAACATCTATACACATTTTTAAAGTTCTAATAAGGACACCTACAATGATCTGTGTTAACAGCACACATTCCACGCTTTGGCTGGAGTGTCTTCATAAAAGATGGTGTGTATTGGGTAACTTTGAAAATACCTAACTACATTAACGATTCAACTGTACACTTAAGGCAAAGCCAGTCAATGGGCTGGTGGGTTCTCTTTGTGAGGAACTCTATAACTGGATGACCTTTTAAAATGCAAAGTAGAGAGGAGCTTTGCTCAACACTACAAAACCACAGTGATAGCAAGAGTGTGTAACGGGTTTAGGAACAGTCCCAAAGAGAAGAACAGAAGCACAGGCTCAGAAACCCGCCTGTGAACTGTTCACACACATGCAGATGTCACTTTGTGGCAGGGACACAGTCTGAGAAGGACACGTTAGGCAATGACACCATAGAGTGAGCCTCAGAGAGAGGTGGTCCACGGACACGGTAAACACCAGCTGTCTGAGGCTGCGGCCAGTGTGACATGGAAAATGTTTGAAAAGAAATGTACAGAGTAACCATAAAGTGTTGGTAAGTATAGTGTGACCGATCCATGAACCATGTAACCAGACCCGTACAGACGCAGAGAGACGTGACCACAGGAACACAAGATCTGGGTGACTGAGTTACACTATCAGCTAAGGCTTGGTTGGGAGCCTCCTGTGTTATTAACTCTGGGGCAGGTGTGATAAAATGTGCACCTTGCACACCCACCTATGTAGTTTAAATTGCACTTGACTAGGCCTGGCTTCTGGAACTGTCCTGGGAGGACGAGTCTCACTCCAGAAGAGCAGAAAATGAATTTGGGCTGAAGCAAAAGACAGAGTCCACCGTGTCCCAAGCAGCCTCTTCTGAGTGCCCCACAACGTCGGAGCTGAATGTTTAGGCTGTCCCTTTAGAAGCTGAGATCCTGGCTCTCCAAGGTGGTGGTGTAAGGTGAGCCCGCTGGGGTGTGGGTAGGTCATGGGTGGGGCTCTCAGAAATAGGTTTAGTGCCCTTATAAAAGAGCTCCTTGACTCCCATTCTGCCCAGTCTATTCTAGAACGTGAGGACAGGGAGAAGCTGCCCCGCTCTGGCCCAGGAACAGGTCCTCGCTGGACACTGAACTGGCTGACGCTGCAGTCTCAAACTTCCCAGGCCCCAGAACTGTGAAAAATGCATCTCTACTGTTTGGAAGATGCTCAGTCTGAGGCATCCTGTTACAGCAAGCTGTATTTACTACAGAAGCCACACTTGCCCCGAATGGCTTCACAAAGACATCCCGCTCTCCTCAACCCCCAAAAGCATACAGAATTTTAAGATAAATGTGGCATAAAACCAGCCACTGTGAAATTGTTTGTCATTCATTTGGCATGTCTGCAAATAGGCTCCCTTCCTCTGGTTTTAGACAGTCTAGCTTGGGATGGGGCCGAGGGCCCATTCAGAACAGCGCCATGTGTTAACCGGTCCTTGGTGCCCACTAGCCGAGGCATCTCATTTGACAGGGAGCATGGATGGGGCAATAAAGTGAACAGCCAAGCACACCGCTGGACTATAAAAAACATTAAAACATTGAAGGGCTTAAAGATTTAATGACCCAGCAAAGAAGAAAAATATGTTTAAATGCAGATCTCAGTCATTAAAAAAACATCTGTTATGCCACATTGGCCTCCTCTGAAAATGGGGGAAATAGGTCTAAAGCAAGAACCTACATCACAAGAGTCTAGGCCGGAGAAGGAGACCTACGCCTCGCTGGATGTCCAGTGAAGCAAAAACTCTGAGGAATAGAGATTGTCCTTCTGGTGGTGCTGGAGGCGCCAAAGACGATGGAAGCCGCTGCTCTAGAGACTTCTGAACCGTGAAAGCATTTTCTGAGGAAGCCTTTTCTGAAGAGAAGATCCCAGAAGCAGCAGGTGGTGAGGCAGCTGGAGAAACCTGTGGGGAAAGAAACACTGGGGGAAGGGCCTGGAAGGGGCTAACAGTTCCCTGCTGGATCGTGACTGTCCTTTCCCACCAGGCTGTAGCTTCTGCATCTACCAGGGCTGCCGTAACAAAGTCCTTGAGTCTGGGCAGCTTTAGCAACAGAATTGTGTTCCTCAGAGTTTCGGGGCATGGAGAGCTGAAATGTGAATATCGCAGGATTAGTTTCTTTTGCAGCCTAGGAGAAAGGCACGTGTCCCAGGAGTGTGCCCCTGGGTCCTAGATGGCCGTCTTCACTCTGCGTTCTTACATTGCCTTCCTTCTGAACATAAGAGTTTCTTCTTGTTGTAAGGACAACCAGAGATCTCGGCCAAGATGGTGGGATAGAAGCATCTTTTGTTCGACTCTGTGAATTAGAAAGATCAAGTCAACCGAGGAGACACTATGTCCCTTGGAGAGAAAGTGAGAAACCCTGTGAACTAATAAAGACTCCAGCCAGGTGACATTAGCGCCTGTCCCAGCTGACCTCATTCAACTTTGTTAGCTCTTCATGGACGTCCTTTCAATGGTCGCACTGCAGGACTGGGGAGCCGGCTTCACCATTTTATTTTGGGGAAGTGGGACAGAGTAGCATCAGTCCCTAATAGTATCTGAATGATGGGAATAAGAACAAAGGAGCTTTTGTATGAAAATACTAAAATCTCAGCGTGTGAAGTAGCTGAGCTTTCCTGAGGGTTTGCCCAAGGCAAGCCCAGCTCTCAAAGATTCCCTCTGACAAAGTGTGTGATCAGCAACCAAGGCAAAAGCTGGGGATCCCTAGCAAGTGACATGGGCCTCTGAGACTCAAGTTTCTTTCTTAAACTAAAGGTATCAAGTCTGTGAGTTGAACGTCCTGATTGGCACTCCAACCTCAACCATAGGATAAAGCAAGAAAACCAAAATAGGAAAAGCTACTTTCCCCAAGTTCCTTGGTAGCTAGAGTTTTGGTGGGAATTAAACACCCTCACTCCATCCTGACCCATACTCACCCTCGTCACCAAGATGCTCTGGTATGAATGAGACCTGAGGACAAGGGTAAAGCAGAAGCCACTTTCCCACCGCTGCTTCTGCTAGCAAGGCCTGGTCAAAAATGCTGGAAGAAGTTAGAGAACCTTGGCCTGCTTATGAGACCCCACAACTCGTTCTTGAAGAGCAGCTATGGGGGTGAGGTGGTGAGGCGGTTGCGGTGGGGTGCTCTAGGATTCCTCCTGAAGACAGGATGGCAAAATTAACACACGCAACACACGCACACACTCATTGTTTCATTGTCACTGCAGGCTGGCGACACCTGAATGAGCATTAATGGCAATCTGGGTGAATACACCATGGTCCATCTGCGCTCATGCAGGAGCACTGAGCAGTCTTCTAAGGAATAAAAGGAGGCTTCCACATACTTACCTGGAATAACTCTCAAGAAACTTGAGGGAGAAGAAAGTACAATCCTTTATACACAGCCACTTAGAGAAGATAAAAATGGATATTTAAAGGAATTCAAAAATTTAAAAGATATTGCTTATCCCTGAACTTGCCATCCTCCTCGGCCTCCTAGGTAGTGGAATTACAGGCATGTGTCATGACACAGCGCTGGCTCAAAAGAAAAACTGAACGATGAACAAAGTATTATGGCTTGAACCTTAATAGTTTTCTAAAGTCCAGGAGATGATTAATCAGTTTGTGGGTTTATAGCTTCATGGATTTTAGCAGAGGTTTTGTTCTGAGCCCTCTGCTTCCCCTCCATCCTGGTTCCCATGAGTCACCTTGCTCTACCACGTGCACCCACCTCTCCCCAGTCCCAGAACAAAGGAGTCAAGTGACCATGGACTGAAACCTTTGAAATCATAAGCCCAAATGTATATTTATTATATATTATAAATGGATTTTTCATGTATTTTTCACAGCGAGAGAAAGTTGATTTGGCACACAAACCACAATGAGCTGGCCCCAGAGATCTCTCTATGTCAGGTCCTAAACCATCTGTGAAAGAGGAGCCACGGGGACATGCCCACCTGGCTACGGCTCCTGCCAGTTCTGAAGAGCCGGGAGTGGTCCAGGAAGATGAGGGAGGGAATCAGGCCTATGTACAGCTCAGAGAATGGAGTTTTAGATGCATTTGTCTGGTCCCTCACAGCTCTATGGTGATGTGGGTATTTTTATCATCCCCATTTCACAGGCGAGGAATCTAGAACAAAAGAAAGGCAGCAGCTTGGTCAAATCTGTGAGACCAGGAGAGTCGTCCCAGCTCCTTTCTGCAGGAAAAGTGTTTCTTCTTTTAGAAAAATTTACAATTATTTGATTTTTTTTTAATGTGTATCAAAGCTCTGCCTCGATGTAAGGATGCATGCCATTTGTGTGCCTAGTGTCCTCGGAGTTCAGAGGAGGATGTCAGATCCCCTGAAACCAGAGTTAGGGGTGCTTCTGAGCCATCATGTAGGTGCTGGGCATCGAACCGGGGTCCTTTGCAGGAGCACCAAGTGCCCTCAACTGCTGAGCAACATGCTTCAAGCGCCCCCACTGGAGAGCCAAAGAAAAACTTTTCTACCCTTATTAAACACCTGCCACCCACTGAATCCATGGATTTATGCAGTTTCAGCATGGGTTTCTTTTGCTTTGCCACAGTTCCACAGGGTTTTTTCCTTACTGCAGGACTTGGCAAGCTCGCTGTGTGTTTATCTCTCCTGATGACTCTTTCCTTTGCCTTTTCCCTCAAAGTCACTCATGTGATCTGACCAACCCAAGTATCTTAGCATGAAGATCTAAGGTGACTACGGACTAACAGGTGGGTAGTGTAGTAGACATTGGGAAGGGCAGATTTCTATCTGTGAACTGAGGCTGGGCAAGACAGACAGACAGACGGGGGGGGGGGGAAAGAGAGAGAGAGAGAGAGAGAGAGAGAGCGCTAGGGAGCTGCTCTGTGTTAAAGGTTTTACAAGGCCAAATGCAGAGCTGTAGGATTATGGAGAGTTACACTGCTGCCGTCAAGAGTCAAATTATCTTGGGCAATTTTAGTTCCTTTGAAAGCCACCCACTGCCTACACCTGTGCCTGGCCTAACACCCTTGTGCCTATGAAAACCCTATGATGTAATCTTAGCCGACCACTAGCTTCTACCAAAATCCAAAAGCTCAAAGTGTCATCGTTACCTGAAACCTGTAGCAGAGCTGTCCCTGCCTACCCACAGCCCCCACTAATATATTCAGCAAACACTTTGATTTATGACTTTCTTTGTTAAGTAAATAATAACGTGTCAGGTAACCCCTTCCATGGTGAAACACTTGAGGACTTGAGTTCTGATCTGCATTCCTGGGCACTGAATAAACTCTCTCTTATTCTCATTGGGGCCAGAACCGCGGTTTTTGCATCGACGTATCAAGCAGGGATGTGTTTAAACTTATGATTTTGTTAAGTTCTGGAAATTTCCACTTAATCCTTTCAGATCACCATCAGTCATGGTTGCTGAGCTAATGGAAAGTGAAGCCACAGGCAGAGGAGACGTCCCCATAGCACCAGCCCGGGGCTTTGTACTCAGGGCTTTGGCCACCATCTCCAAACCTCACTCACTCTGGACCCCCAGGCCAAGCCTCCAGATTGTCGGGGAGAGAAGTGAGGTACTCCCCTCTGCAGGACTCCAGTGTCTATCTTATTGCTTCACTCCAAAGATGACCCACAGACCTGTTAGGAGGGGTGAACCCCAAGCCTGGCCACAGCATCAATGCTGGGAAGCAGGCTTCTAAGACACTGGCTTTTTGTCTGACTTCCTATAGGAATTACCTGAGGGGCCTGAAAAACGGCTGATTCCAGCCACTCTCAGAGACTCTCATTTAGCAATGCGGAGTGCAGCTACTGCTGGGGCTTTTAGAAGCCCCCAGTGATTCCGGGGAGCAGTAGAGCTTGAGAAACATTGCTGTTGCTGTGACCAAATGTCTGCGGGCAGAGGATGGAAGGCAGTGCCAATGACATCACCTGCAAACCTGCTAGAAATGACGATACTCTATCCAGACCTATGGAACCTGAAATCTGGCAGGCGCTGAGAAGGACGCTGGCCTTCTAACCAGCCTTCTACACAGTTCTGATGCCTCCTAAGGACTGAGAATCACTTCTCTAAGCAACAGGCTACTGGTGGATTGTTATTAGTCATGGTTTGCTTTATCAACTATTGAATAACAACTATGTTGATTATAAAGTTAGGAAATGAACCTACCCCAGGCCTTTCCCTGAGAACATGTGAGAAAGCTTTTTAGAGAGATTAGGAATCAACAGGAATTGATGGGAAAGGGGACAGCATTACCACACGTGGATACCACTGTGGGCCAGAAGCTTCCACAGGGAGCCTTGCCTGCCCAGGGAGAGCCCTGCCTGCCCAGGGAGCGCCCTGCCTGTCCAGGGAGCGCCCTGCCTGCCCAGGGAGAGCCTTGCCTGCCCAGGGAGGATCCTGCCTGCCCAGAAAGAACACAATCCATGGGGAGAGGTGGGCAGTGCACAGCTAAGATGACCCAGCAGATCGATGCTCCCTTAACAAGGACGGAAGCAAATTCTGCTTTCTTCAGCCTCTGCTCATGCTGATGATAACGGTTCAAGTACATGGGCTTGGAAGACAGACCTGTAGGCCAGGGTTGTTTAGTCACTCAACTTTTTTTTGGGGGGGGGAGGGGGTTACACTGGTCTAAGAATTGTCTTGTGCCACACATTAAATACAGTGTGTTCAATATGGTCAGTAGTGTGGACCGTCTTCATAGAACCCTGTAAGAGCGCTTGCCTTGTGTGTTCATTTAAGTCTGGGCAAGAACTCGGGACACCTCTGTGCTGTGTGACTAAGGTGGAGGTAGAGGACTGGAATCACGAAACTCACCAAGTTCATGGGATTTCAAGCGCTGGAACCTGGTGGAGGCAGGAACCCAGCCTGTACATTCTGAGCCACACCAGACCAGCCAGGCTCTTGGTTCTGTTTCTGTTCCTGCTTCACAAACCCAGGCCTACTGCTCCCTTCACAACTGCTCCCTCAGCCAGCCAGCTCTCCTGTCTACCCTTTGTGTTCCTGTTTGCCTGTGTTCGATCAATCAACTTTATGTTTCTTTTATTTCTCCCTTTAGGCGAGGTTAGCGGCAAGCCTGGGTGGACACTCAGCACATTTTGTGAACAGAATAACCTGGGCCTGGCTCAGTTGGGAACTCAGTTTCTAGTACGCAAGTGTGAGTTTTGACTAGGCGGGGCCTCGGCTGCTGGTGTGCACAGTGAAAGGACACAGGGAAATACACCGCACGCGGACAAGCTAATAGCATGGCTGACTTTGTGCTATCCTTGGTAATAAAGGACAAGGCCAGACCGTCCATCATCGTGAGTTCAGGGCTGACCTGCAGAGTTTATTGCCGCCAACAGTTTTAATTCTCTCCTGCTACATCTGCAGCCAGCAGTGTTTCCCAATGACTATAGACTCATGGTGAAGAGAGTAAGTCCCAAGCACGAATTTCCTTCATGTTAAGTCCTCCAGTTGAGGTGGGATTTTGTGAAATCTGTGAGGCAGAGGGATAGCTGAAGTCTCAGGAGGCTTGGGAGGAGAAAATAAGTCACTATAGATTCATTCGATCCTGGAACACATACCCAGAGGCGCGTTTAGACAGAAGGCAGATTTTGTAGGGTTGAGTCCTCTGTGCTTATCTGATATAGCATGCTGTGGGTGGTCTCTACCTTCATCTTTCATGACCTGAAAGTGTGGATTAGTGCATGGCTGGAGAGGCAGCTCAACAATTAAGAACACTGGGGGCTCTTCTAGAAGACTGGGATTCAATTCCCAGAACCCATAGGGCAGCTCACAACCATCTGTAACTCCAGTTCTAGGGAATGTGATGTCCTCTTCTGACCTCCACAGGCACAAGGGACCACAGTGATGCTCTGACATATATGTGACAAAGCACTCATACATATAAAATAAATATTGTAATTAAAAAACAAAAGAAATGCTAGGTAGTGGTGGCACATGCTTTTAATCCTAGCACTCAGGAGGCAGAGGTAGGTGGATCTCTGCGTTCCAGACCAGTCTAGTCTACAGAATGAGTTCCAGGGTAGCCAAGATTACACAGAAAAACCCATCTCAAAAACCTCATAATTAATTAATTAATTAATTTAAGAATACAAAACAAAATAAAAGCATAGTGCTACGTGGTCGTAGTACAGATAAATCCAGAAAATACCTTACACGGTGACCACCTGCCGGGTACCAGGTAGAAAAAGCACACGATTCTTCTCCTCTGTCATGAGAAAGTCAGCCCAGGGTTCATCTGGGCCCATACTTCCTCCCACCATACAGTTTAAAATATCTTAATTGGTTTGCACTTTCATTCATTAGATTTGTTATCATCTGGCTTCTCTGCCTATGGTCGTTTGAACAAGAATGGCCCCCATAGGCTCCCGTAGTCTCCCATATTTGAATGCTTAGCCATCAGGCAGGGGCACTGCGTAGAACTACAGGAGGTGCAGCCTTGTTGGAGGAAGTGTGTCACTGGGGGTGGACACTGAGGTTTCAGACTGAAGTACACTTAGTGCTGCTTCTCCAGGTGTCTTCTTGCAACTGAGTTTATTGCAGATCTCTGACGACTCTTTATGTAATTTAATTTATTCAAACTAGGAATGGTGCCATGGCGTCTGAATTAAAATGAGAAAGGAAATCAGTCCGTTGGCTCACGCTTGTAATTCTAGCCCTCTGGAGGTACAAAAGGGAAGACTGTAAGTTTGGGGCTAGAGATGAAGGCTCTGTCACTAAATCAATAAATAAGAAAGAAAGAGGCGGGGCTGGAGAGATGGCTCAGTGGTTAACAGCATTGCCTGCTCTTTCATAGGTCCTGAGTTCAATTCCCAGCAACCACATGGTGGCTCACAACCATCTGTAATGGGGTCTGGTGCCCTCTTCTGGCTTGCAGACATACACACAGACAGAATATTGTATATATAATAAATAAATAAATATTTTTAAAAAAAAAGAAAGAAAGAAAGAGGCTTGAAAACTTGATGTCTTATATTCTAAGGAAAAAAAAAAAAAAGAACAAAGTTGCTCTGATTCCAGAGGCTGGAGCTTGGTCCTGATGGTGCTATTTGGCCAACTACTCTCTGGTTTTCTGGTTTGTAAAATGGGGCTGTTTTTAGCATCTACCACCCAAGGTCATCATGAAGATCACACAAAGGGTATAATATACAAACCAGCGCTGAACACACCACATACTTAAAAGCTACTCTACTTGAGAAAGAAAACAGCCACATTCCCACACGGTACAGTTAAAAGCTTCACACCCCGTCCTCCTCTCTCCAAGCCCCCAAGGCCTGAATTGAAGTAATCCGACAGATCTTTGTCTGGTGAAAGTTACAGGCACTTTCCCTAAGCAGTGCTGTTGACTGCAACACAAATAAACCACTCATTTTTATCTTAGAATCAGTTCTCATCCCACAGTCATTAATTTCAAACCCAGACTTGCCTTTGTACTTAATTATGAGTCCCCGGGAGTTGGGAGTACGGCGCTTTCATTCTCGTTCATTCGCTAAGAGTTTAGGTACTTACCGTGGTGGCAGCATCCAGAAATGCTCCTCAAACACTTGGACTGACCTGGTATGAACTCTGAGCTGCAGAACCAGACACGTAGTAGGCTTAGTGAGGTTTCTCCTGAAGCCCAAGTGAACAGAATGTGGGACTCCAGAGATGCAGGCTGTTCGGGCTCTACAGTCCCTTTCTCCTGCCTGAACCTGCTTCATTGTTTCCAAGACAAAGGTGTTGAGTTAAACCGTTTGTTTTGGTCTTTATTGTCCAAAAGATTCTAAGTGGATACAAACTGTGTCTTTAGGAAACTGGGCTCTTTTCAAGCAAGACAGTTCTCTTGGCCGTAGCTCCCTACCGCCTACTTAAACACCAGGCATGGGCAATGTTGCTTAAGAGCTCTTTTCCATTCCAGATGGAAACTTTCCACTCTTCAGGGAAGCTCCTTAAGCAGGAAGGCAAACAACTCAGAATAGCCTCAGGAAGTCCCTGAAACTGACCAGAATCACTAGGCTCCGCCCTGCCAGAGTAAGCAATAAAAGCTGAAGAGTCTCTCTCTCTCTCTCTCTCTCTCTCTCTCTCTCTCTCTCTCTCTCTCTCTCTCTCTCTCTCTCCATCTCTCTGAAGGAGGGAAGCCAAGCTTCAAAGAAAAGTCTCAGGCAAGGTGAGCTGCCAAGAAGATGCTGAGGCCAAAGCAGCTGCCTGGAAGAAGCAGGAACCAGCGGGGCTGCCTGGAAGAGGTTCAGATCAGAGTCACTGGGAAAGGGCACTCTCCAGCCTGGTGAGCTGCCTCGAAGATGTTCCGAACTCTAACTGAGTTGCTCGGAAAGGACCATCCCTGTTGTCAGCTTACTGAGCTGCCTGTAGGTTGTGCCAGGTTGTGCCGTGTCCTCCAGTTGCCTAGCTTTTGTGAACAATCACTGGTGCTGGATGGGGTGATGCAGCAGTATCTTTTGAGTCATTTCTACTCCTGTAAGTCACCCATCACCCATATTCCTTAACCCCAATAAAACTCATTATTTCTCCAAGTTGAGCTTTGATGGTAGGCACACTTTGGTCTGGGTTGAGTAGATGTCACACAGGAAAGTGTCACACAACATTCAGATAGTTATAGTCCCATTTATTAAATGCTAAGAGCTGGGTGCTTTCATTTAAAAACACCACAATGGACTGGAGAGATAGCTCAGTCATTAAAGGATATAGGCCCACAGCCAAAAATATAAATACAGCTCAATACTTAATCTTCACAATTAGCTTGGGGTGGCTATTGACATTTCAGAGGTCTATAGAGGTTAGGCTAATGGCTGAAGTGGGACCTGACTTCTTATTTAGAAAGAGGAAATGGGATTGAATTGCTAACACCATTTCTAGCTTTGTGTCCCTGTGTAGATGGAGACCCGCAGCCTTCTCAGGGTGTCTGACTCAGTCACATTGTAGTGGGGTCTTGGGGCTTTGGGATTCCTGTCGGATTTCCCCAGACATGCAAGGTGTAGAACCATCAGCCTTGGCTTCTACCTTTCAAATTTGTTTTGTTTGGTCCGAGCTGACCCTTCAAAGTGGCACCCATCAACTTCTGGAGTCCTCGAGAGCCTTCAGGTCAAAAAATTGATTCCAAATTAAACCCTTCCTCCCAAACAGTAAGACTCCTCCACATTTCTCTTGGGAGGGAACTAACAGAGTCCTATGAGTGTCCAGCTTGCACTGGCAGCAGCTGGGGGACTGCCCCAGGCCAGAGCTCAGTTTGCACCTGGTTTCAAAGCACACGCTTAAGTCCTTAAGTCCTGACCTGCTGAAGCTGCCATTCAGTCTACCCAGCACCCACTTCATACACAGACACACTCATGCAAGCAAGCACGCACACACTCATACACAGACACACACGCACGCATACACTCATTCACTTGTTCCTATTCAGAATGAACACAGTGACATCACGGCCATTCTCTGCCCTCAGCAAGCATAAGTACAGGAAGTAGACCACTGAGTTCTCAGCCGCCCTCCACTCAGCCAGGCCTGTGGGCTGCACTAGTTAGAGTGCATCCCAGGCAGGTGAGAGACACATGCATTTATTATGGCTGGCAGCTGCATCTGTCCCTGGGTGGGCTGTGGGGAAGGACTGGCATCCGCCCAGCTCTGGAAAAGGTTGTGCTAACCACTCGGAGAGAGTAAGCTCATGGAACAGAGATCAGGGCCGACTAGGCCACTCCATAGCCTCTCCCAGGGCTGGGGCCCTTTCACTGGGAAGACAGGGCTGGTTCAGGACTTCAGAGGTGTGGGAGTTGGAGGTGATGTCTTTTGGGAGAAACTGGCAGGACCTGACCAGGGCAGCCTGTAGCCCTTAGGCAAAACATCAAGACCTCCACACAGGAAGGAAGAACCCAGACTCCCATACCCTTAAGGACCAAAATCCTGTCCTCCAGGATAGGAAGTTATTGCCATTTAGAAAAAAACGTCCTACTGGGCCTTCCCTCCATCGGCTCTCAAAATCAGAGCTTCTTAAAAATTTCCCTCTTTAGGAGACTTTGGAAATAGAAAGAATGGAGAAAAGAATAAACGAAAAAAGAAAAATCTGTATATATTGCACATCTGGATCGAACATATGGATTGACCAAACGCACATCTGGATCGAACATCTGGAATCAACATCTGGATTGGCCGAATGCACATCTGGATCACACATCTGGATCACACATCTGAAAATTAAAGATCATCGTTAGAGTCAGAAGTTTGAGTATGAGAAAGCATAGCAGAGACTTCTCTAATGGTACAATTTCCTGTCTCTTCTCTAAGTAGACAGAGAACTACTTCACCATGCCATTGTAATGGCAATCCCAGGGACCAGTAATGTCCATTGTGACTAGAGTTACTGATACACGAGGAGAAGGCAATAATGATTCTGTCTCACAAACCTAAATCCTCAGAACAGGTGTGGATTGAAGGCTGGAGGCTCCCTGAAAGATTATTTGTATGATTCTTGTATGGTCAGTCAGAGTTTGTGAAAAGTCTGTTGGTTTTAGATTATTCCCCCACAATATGAAAACCAAGTAACCCAAGAGTCTAATAAAATATAGTTCATATTTTAAAAAAATCCCTCTTGTATCTACTTGCCCAAGAAATCATGTGACCCAGGTATATAGGTATATTAATGACAATACACATAAAATATTTACTGATAGTAACTTATAAAGAATGCTTTTTACTTTTATTTTACGTGCATTGGTGTTTTGCCGCAGGTATGTCCTATGAGAGCATCGAATACCCTGGAACAGGAATTACAGACAACTGTGAGCTACCATGTGGGTGCTGGAAATTGAACCCTGGTCCTCTGGAAGAGCATCCAGTGCTCTTAACTGCTCAGCAACATCTCCAGTCCCTTCACAAAGACTTTTTAAAGTAATTCTTTGGTATGCCTATGTGTGCTTATGTGTATGCTCATGCATGTGTGTGTGTGTGTCTTACCATTATTAAAGACAGAAATAAATTCTGTATAGTGTAATGACTGGTTTTATGTCAACTCAACACAAGCTAGAGTCACCAGAGGAGAGAGCCTCAGCTGAGAAAACGTCTCCTTAAGATCAGGCTGTAGGCAAATCTGTAGGTTATTTTCTTAATTAGTGATTGATGTGGGAGGTTCCATTGTGGGTGGGGCCGCCCCCAGGCTAGTGGTTTAGGGATCTATAAGAAAGCAGGCTGAGCAAGCCTGGTGAGCAAGCCAGGAAGCAGCACTCCTTTGTGGCCTCTGCATCATCTCCAGGTTCCTGACCACTTTGAATCCCTGCCTTGGCTTTCTCAGTGGACTGTGATTCAGAATATGTCAGTCAAATAAACCATTTCCTCTCCAGGTTGTTTTTGGTCGTGGTGTTCCATCACACAAGAGTAACCCTAACTAGGACGTGTCCGAATGAGTGGCTGTGCTTGTTGATAAAGGAACACAGGGCTTGAAAAGGTGCCTCAGTTGATAAGGTGCCTGCCTTGAAAGCAGGAGGGCTTGTGTTTGCATCCTCGGGACCCACGTACGAAGCTGGCTGCAGTGGTGTATGGGTGTCACCGTAAAGCTGGGGGTGCACAGACAGAGTTAGCCCCAGGGCTCTCTGGCTAGCCAGTGTAGCCAGTGAGCTCTGAGTTCAGCGAAGAGACCCTGTCTCAAAACATGGAGAGTGGCATGGATCTCGGGTCACCATATGCATTTGAATGACATATGAATGACATCGATACAGGGTGCGCGCGTGCACACACACACACACAATTATTTTTAAAAAGATAATTAAGTCTTAGCTAAACATCTGATACGGCAGGGTGTGCGGCATCGCCGATGCTTTCGGTGGTGGGGATTTCAGATTTAGAACTGCCAGTGCCAGGAGGGCTGCTTCACATAAATGCATAGTGT